CCCATACCCCCTACCTACCGTAGTGCTCTCAAAGATCCTAACTGGTACAATGCTATGCTAGATGAATATAATGCCTTGATAGCTAATCATACATGGGATCTAGTACCCCCCTCCCCTAATCAAAATGTGATCTCCGGAAAATGGCTCTTCCGCCACAAACTTGGCCCAACAGGTGAACTGTCCAGGTACAAAGCCCGATGGGTTGTTCGTGGATTCAACCAACGCCATGGCATCGACTACGACGAGACTTTCAGCCCGGTTGTCAAACCGGCCACTATACGCATCGTTCTAAGCCTAGCCGTGTCCAAAGGATGGCCGATCCACCAGTTCGACGTCAAAAATGCTTTCTTGCAGGGCTACCTCTCAGATACTGTTTACACCGCTCAGCCTTCGGGATTTCAGGACCCTGCTCGCCCACATTATGTCTGCAAATTAAATAAGGCACTCTATGGACTCAAGCAAGCCCCTCGTTTTTGGTACCAGCGATTCACGGGATTTGTTCTCTCTCTTGGCTTCAGTGGGTGCAAGAGTGATGCCTCCTTGTTTGTATACAGTCGCGGTCAGGACATGGCCCTACTTTTGCTCTATGTTGATGATATTGTCCTCACTACATCATCCACTACCTTACTACACCAGCTCACAGAACGACTAAAAGGGGAGTTTGCTATGACAGATATGGGTGACCTTCACTTCTTTCTTGGGAGCGGACCTCTCACGGCCTATTCCTCACTCAGACTCAGTTTATCTATGACATCCTCGAGCGGGCAGGCATGACCTCGTGTAAACCCGTTTCTACACCCGTGGACACCCGCGGGAAGCTCTCGGCCACCGTTGGTCCTCCAGCGCCAGATCCCTCTCTCTATCGCTCTATTGTGGGAGCACTGCAGTACCTCACCTTCACATGCCCGGATATTAATTACCTATGCAGTACAGCAGTTATGTCTCTTTCTTCATGATCCTCGAGTGCCGCATGTCACAGCCATAATGAAGCGCGTCCTGCGCTATCTTCACGGTACACCTACCCATGTCATCACCATCTCACCATCTCAGATAGATCATATGCGGGCATACTCTGATGCTGACTGGGCTGGCTGCCCAGATACTCGCCGATCGACATCCGGTTACTGCATTTTTCTAGGCGACAATCTCATCTCCTGGTCGTCTAAGCGACAACTCACCACCTCTCGTTCCAGTGCTGAAGCAGAATATCGAGCTGTTGCTAATGCTGTCGCTGAAGTCTGTTGGGTGCGCAATCTTCTTCTAGAACTCCGGCAACCTCTGATGCGATCCACACTGGTCTTCTGTGATAACATCAGTGATGTCTACCTTTCGGCCAACCCAGTTAAACATCAGCGCACAAAGCATATTGAGGTAGATATTCATTTCGTGCGAGACAGAGTAGCCCTTGGTCAGATACGAGTCCTTCATGTGCCCTCTTCATCACAGTATGCTGACATTTTTACCAAGGGACTACCCTCCATGATTTTCTCCGAGTTTCGAGATTGTCTGGGCATGCGGCAATCTTCTTTGGTGCCGTTGGGAGCATGTTAAATATATTCTTACTATATTTAATATTAATGTATATTGGTAGCTTCCATAATTGTACAGGGTGTAATTAATATTGTTTCCTATCATCATTAGGAAACTCCTGTATATATACACATGTAATCCCCCATAATAATTCATGTGAAAATATTCATTCTTCAAAACACGTTATTTCTTCCAGCAGTTTCAAAATAGGGAATGAAAAAAATCCACATTTTCAATTCTGTACACCAATCCTCACAAAAAAAACAAAAAAAGGAATAAAATTGGCTTGCGCATGACTTGCTAGTTAAGAGGGGTGACACGCCTTAAGAATGACTTGCAAAAAAGGGTGGCGGCTGACTTGGCAGAGCATGGCAAGGCTTTGCATTGCCGCTGCCTGTGCTCTTTACCATGCATGGAGTGGACTAATCGTGTCACTCAGCTCCATCCTTCTAGATTATCGCAATAATTTGATCATTATTTATACGTCTATTTTAGATTATTATTATTATTATTATTATTATTATTCTTAAATTACTATTCCCTGTGCAAAATATTCCCTTATCCATCCCTCTCTCCAAAAAAATCGTGTACATGGTTGAACAATGGGAAAACTATATTTTTCTGGGTTTCTTTTAGAGAGCTCGAGAGCATAGAAATCAATAGAGAAATAGAGAACGAGCCATAAGGTGAAAAATAAGAAAATCATCATTCTTGCTCCAATAGCCAAAACTTTTGAAAAAACTTAGTAAGCATACTCTCAAGATCTGCAAAATTACCTCTCTAATCTACTTTTAGCAGTTTTCATCTGATCCGAAAATTGCTTTAGCCGGCTCAGTGGCAGACCCAAACCTTCAAATGAGAGGTGTCAAAAGCAAAAGGCTTCAAATGAGAGGTGTCAAAAGCAAAAGGGCCCAAACTTCTCAGGTAGAGTCTGGGCACATGACAAAAGTTTGGAGGTGGCGTCTCCAGATTTCTTATACAAACACAATAAGAAATAGCAAAAAATATCAAGCTAATAAATTTTATCTTTAACATTTAAATAATTAAAATAATATAATTAAATGAAACTATTATTAATTATAAAAATGATAAAAAAAATGATAGCAGTAAAAAAAGTGAAGTTAATACATATTACAGTGGTAGATAACTAATTTTTTTAAACACAATAAGAAGCAACAAAAAACCACGGAGCAATACATTTTCCTCAAACACTCAAATGATTCAAAATAACAAAATTATGGAGTAGAAAAGAATTATTATTAATTATATAAAAAATTATTGTCAATATATAATACTATTTTTAAAAAAATTCAGTGGTGTCGGTTATCACCACCGGACCCCCCCCCCCCCCCCC